TTCTACAAATGGCACAAGACAACCTAGTGGGGAAATGAAAATCTCTTCGGCAAATGGTGCTGGAAATACTGATATCTACCTGCAGAACAATGAAACTTGACCCCTATATCTCACTGTTAACAAAAGTCAACACAAAATGGATCAAGGATCTAAATCTAAAACTGCAAACTATAAAACTACTGGTAGAAAACACAGGGAAACTCTTGGACACATTAGAGTGGGCAAAAACTTTTTAAATAAGACACCCAAAGCATGGGCAATAATCCCAAAAATAGACAAAGGGGACTACATCAGGCTAAAAAACTTCTTCATGGAAAACAAAACAATAATTAGGGTGAGCAGACAATCCTCAGAATGAGAGAAAATATTTGTGAACTATGCCTGAGATAAGACACTGATAACCACAATACACAGAGAACTCAAGCAGCTTACCTGAAAAAAAAAAAAAGTAATCAATCTAATTAAAAGATAGACAAATGAGCTGACAGACAACTCTCCAAGAAAGACACAGAAATGGCCAAAAAACATATGAAAAAATGCTAAACATCTTTTATCATAAGGGAAATAGAAATCAAAAGCTCAGTGAAAAACCACTTAACACCAGACAAAATGGTTAAGATGAAGGGGAAATAAAAGAGAGAGAGAGAATGGTAAGTGCTGGTAAGGCTGCAGTGAAAAGGGAATCCTTCCACATTGTCGATGGGAACATAAATAAGTACAGCCACGGTGACGAACAATCTGGAGGTTCCTCAGAAACCTCCTAAGAAAACTACCACATGACCCGGGTACTCTTTTAGGTATCTGCACAAAGTATAGGAAAACAGTCGGAAAAGCACTTGCATATCCATGTTTATTGTAGCATTATTCACAATTGCTAGGACATGGAATCAAACCAAATGTCCAAGAAAAGATAAGTAGATTGAAAAACCATGGCACATCAACTCTGTGGAATACTACTCAGCCATAAAAAAATAAATGAGACCCTGAGATTTCATATAAAGTAGATGAATATGGAAGATTAAATGGTAAGAGAAGTAAGCTAGATTATGAAAGCCAGACATTGTATGTCCCCACTTACTACAGCAGAAACTGAAAGATTGGAAAGGTATATAGCAGGGAGGCCAATTATAGATACTAGAGATAATATAGAAGGGGATGGGTAACAGTAGGTGGGTAATAGAAGTAAGGAGGGAGGGGATCAGGGAAAAAACCAAAAATGCAAAGTCACCTGTTGATGATAATGTATATGGTAATGTCTTTGACTGACTGATATGCACTATTTTCAAAACTTTATTGTACACTGTAAAGATATACAGTGATGTAATGTAAAAAAAATAGAATAGAATTGGGGAGTATGACACTCTATATAGCCGCAGAGACAGAATGACATAGTAGAAAGAGCACTGAAATAAAACTAAGGTAAGCTACGTTATATTCTAGATTTTGATTCAAGTTCTTTATACCTCCTCTGCAAAATGTGGATGTTCATTTGAAAGACTTCCAATATCCTTTCTAGTTCTGAAATCTCATATATTATCATGCTCCTTTTCTAGATATAGAGAAGGTGAGTTTGCATCTCAAAGTAGTGTTTCCTGATTGAAAATGTTATGAGCTATAAATTGTTTTGTCAAGTGAAGTTGAGGATTGTTCTCAAGATCTCAAAAAGGGAAAAAGATCTCTTATTCTCACTAGACTAAAAAATGGGCAGTCTTCCAAAAGAGCATGAAGATGGGGCTCTGGAGGAACTTCCAAGGTCTCTGATTAGAAATTCTTGATTCCACTGGCACTCTTCGTAGTGACAAGTGAAAATAATATTCTAGAACACTGGGTCTGCTGGGTAGTCAAAGATGCATAGTGTAGCAAGACCTAGTGACAGTGAGAGACTCTTCTGCCTGATGATCTTCAGGCAACAGTGTGTCTACTTAAATATTTACTAAAATCAGATGACAGTCCTCTGTATTAACTGCATGGTTATTCAGTTGAATACTTAAAAAGGGAGCAGGGGCTGAACCAGCGGTTCAGGGAGCTAGATCCCACATGGCTGACCCTAGTCCAAATCCCAGACACAGTGGTTTGATAAATATACTGGGAACATGCATGCAGGCCCAATATTCAGATAGAATGGAAAAACAGAGGAGAAGGGATTGCAGCATGACCATGTCCCAGTGCAGGGTTCTTTCTTTCTCTCCCTCTCTCCTTTCTCTGTCTCTTTCTGGAAAGTGCATACAATCTGCTCGCAATTTAAGAAAGAGAGAGAGAGAGAGAGAAAGAAAGAAAAAGAAAAGACCTTATTAAAAAAGCATAGGGAAACTTTACTGAACACTTAAGGAGTAGGCAATTCACTAGATGGTTTTCTTACTAATTCTTTTTTTTTTTTTTTTTGAGAGGTTTTTGCTATAGGGTGCATGCGCTCACCAGAAAGACAGAGAGAGACAGAGAGATAGAAAGCGAGAAATCACCCCACCCCCCTGGGGCGATGGCCATGCTGCAATCCCTTCTCCTCCATTCTCCTCTCGGGATCTTGGACATGCACGCACACGCGCCCGGCGTGAGTAAGCTACAAGGTCCGGGACTTGAACCGCAGTCGACTACGTGGGAGTCCAGCGACATAGCCATTACGCTAACTGCTGGTCCCTCTTACTAATTCTTATAACCACCATATGAGGCAACAAAATTCGGTGATGCTTTAGTCTTTTCATCTATAAAATGGAGAGGAAAAGAGTTGATTTTTGTGAAAGTTAATACAATAATGCTCATTGAAGTCCTGCACACAATAAATATCTCTGATGTATGGCCACTCCCCATTAACATAGTGATGAGCACCTACAAAGTGTTTAAACACATTCACCAAATTGGCCCGAGCCAATTAGCTGGTGAGCTCATTAGAATTTTATAACAGATCCTTTACCAAACAGGTAGAATATATTGCAGGTCTAATAGGAAGAGCAATACAACTGAGCTGGTGAGATTGATACATTGACAGAGAGAATGTATAATGAAAGGGTCTTTGCGTAAATAGCAGAAGAGAGTGGAGCAGGATGTTCGCAAGCACCAGGCAGTAGAGAAAAGGAATGTATTAGTCATGGTAGCCTAAATGCTTTAGCAGAGAATCTATAATGTTCAGTACCTTGAAACTATATAAAACTTTTATGAACTCTTTTTTAAAAAAACACTGAATAATATATATCCTTCCCACCCCCATATGCTAAAAAACCATTGATCTGCAATTGCCTCAGATTTATTTCTTGAAAAATAATGTTATAGTCAATCTAAATAGTCTTGGGAATATAGTTTTAACATCTTCAGTCTTTTATCAGATCATTAATTTTGGTAGTTTTGTTTGGAAATACAGGGTCCAGTCTCTTGGGCTTTTTATTTGCAGTAATAGGGAGTTATGCACATAAATATATTTGACATGAGGGTATTTTTGCTTGTGTTTAGTTGCGCTGCTATATCCTGGCATACTTTGTATTTCTTTTTCTTTCTTTTTATTTTTTGCTTTTGTTTTGTTTTTATTTTTTTGCTACTGATAAAAGAAGCCTCATTTGTAAATACACTGGAAAGAAAAGGTAGTTTCTGGAAGGCCAACCTTTACTTTAATAATTGGTTCAGTGATCTGCTTTGTTAGTACTTACTGACGAGGGACCAACAGGTAGTATAGTGGTTAAAGCACTGGACTCCCACATGGTCTATTATGGTTTGAATCCCGGACCTGGTGGCTTAAGAAATCAAGCTGGACATGTGTGCAGGCATGCCCAAAACCTCAAGAGGAGAATGGAGAAGGGATTGCAGCACAGCCATCCTCCCTGTGGGCTTATTATGAAAGAACTCTGTATTAAACTCATGGTTATTCAGTTGGATACTTAGAAATACTTTCTCTCTCATTGTCTCTGTCTCTTTCTGGTGAGTACATGTGCTCTATGACAAAAACCTTTAAAATAAATACTCAGTGAATGAAGCATTCTGACATACTCAAACTATCATTAAGGTTCAGGTTTGGACATGCTTCTATTTATTCATTTGTGTGTGTGTGTGTGTGTGTGTGAGAGAGAGAGAGAGAGAGAGAGAGAGAGAGAGAGATTTTTGTTATAGAGGCACGTGGGTTTTCCAGAGAGATAGAGTAAGATGGAGACAGAGAAAGTGATAAATTTCCCCCTAGGGAGGATGGCCACACCACAATTCCTTCTCTTCCATTCTTCTCTTGGGATTTTGGGCACGCATACACATGCACCTGGGGTGAGTTTTAAGCCACTGGATCTGGTACTCAAACTATGGTCGAATATGTGGGACTCCAGCATCTTAACCACCACGCCACCTGCTGGCCCCCCTATTTATTATCAACTTGTTAAGGATTGTTCCAGATCTTGTGCATTAGTCATATATGGACAACTTACCTTTTGGAATCACAATCCTTCAGGAAATTGTGCTTATGCTTTTTACTTCTGTCAATTGTCTCAAGATTTTAGTTCTGGTAAACTTAGAATAATAATTTAGAAAAGCACCCTAAATTAAATCTGAACAGATAGATCTAAAAATCGGGCCATAATGATAACTTGAATTTGCTCATTAAAATTTCATTCATCGTAGAACTGAGGAAGATGCTCAGGAGGGACAGAATGAGTTGTCATTAGTACAAGCAAACACAAAGACTTTAAGTAGCAAACATCTCATGCAGTATTAAATCAGATTTGTAGGTGGAGGTGAAAAGACAAGAATACAAACTTCATATTAAGTTACCTGACTTTGTTTTCCTTTCAAATAAATAAATATATAAAAATTATTTCCATTTTAATGCCCCAGTTTATATGAGAGTATGGCCAAGAATCTTCCAATTAGTCTGATCTGAGGAGTCTGTCATTGTATTTTTGTTCAAAGTAAATTTTTCGGTCCTGTGTTTGAAGAATTTAATAACTGGCTCACCGTTCTCCCCATCTGAACTGTCGGTAGCATTCTCTTAGGTCATCCGAATAATAGCCAGTATGTTAAACACAGCCTATACAATGCGAATTGAGGGTTGCTGTTTTGATTCTGTAAGGTGAGTCATCCGTTGGTACTGAGCATTCTCTTTCTTTTTTTCTTTCTTTTTTATTTTTTTTAGAGGTTTTTGCTATAGGGTGCGTGTACTCGCCAGACAGAAAGTGAGAGACAGAGAGATAGAAAGCAAGAAATCACCTCCCAGGAGGGATGGCCACGCCGCAATCCCTTCTTCTCCATTCTCCTCACGGGATCTTGGGCACACAGGCACACGCTCCTGGTGTGAGTTTAAACCACCGGGTCCGGGACATGAACCGTGGTTAACTACGTGGGAGTCCAGCGACATGGCCATTACGCTAACTGCTGGTCCCATGAGCACTCTCTTTCTAGAGGTTTCTCAGGTATATTTAGGAAGAGCTTTCAAGCAGGAGTTTTAATATTTTTTCTGTCATGAAAACAGGTGCCAAAGTTTCTTCTATCACTTATTGTTGGTCAATGCCAGAACTGAAAGCAATAGCTGGGAGTACTCTTCCCTTGCTCTGAGATGCTTACAGAAGTGATAAGATCGCATCCTGCCTTATGACTGTGGTCCACTTATGTCCATTTCTTCCATTTGCTATGCCCTCTGTTTCTATCCATTGTCTAGGCCCGGAGTGACTCTCTGCCATCATTTTCCATCAATCTTAAGATATTTCCTTTGTGCCTGCTTTTATCTAATGACTTTGTAACAAGGGGACAATGGGATTCCCAGGGCTCACATGGGGCTGCTTATAGTTCCCATTCCCATCAGCCATAGCACAGAAGGTCACACATGCATACACCATGGGGCCTAGTTCTCAGTAAACTTAAAAAGAATTCTTTAAAGGCCCTGACTGATCTTATTGACTCATGTAGCATAACTGTATAATAGAACAAAATACATGATTTAAAGGAAGGAAATAAAAGACCAGCAGTTGGCTTAATGGCTATGTCGCTGGACTCCCATGTAGTCGACTGTGGTTCAAGTACTGGACCCAGTGGCTTAAACTCATGCTGGGTACATGTGTGTGCATGCCCAAGATCCCAAGAGGAGAATGGAGGAGAAGAGTTTGCAGCATGGCCATCCCTCCTGGGGGATGATTTCTCACTTTCTGTCTCTCTGTCTGTCTCTGTCTTTCTGGCGAGCACACACGCCCTATAGCGAAAACCTCTCCAAAAAAAAAAAAAGGAAGGAAACAAACAAACAAAAAAAGCAAAGACAAAAGAAATCTGCATCCAACAATGTGAACTCCACAATGTCTGGTACCCAAATCCCAAATAATCCAGTCTAAAAATTGAGCAAGGGATTCGAACAGACATTTTTGCAAAGAAAATATCCAACAGCCAACAGGGAGATGAAGAACTGCTCTATGTTTCATTAATTATCTAGAAAATGTAAATCAAAATTATAAAGAGCTATTGCCTCACACTTGTTAATATGACCATTATCAAAAAAGTAGCGTAAGTGTTGGTGAGAATGTAGAGAAATCGGAATCCTTTTACACTGTTCGTGAGAATACAAAATGGTGCAAAATCTATGAAAATGGTATGGATGTTTGTCAAAAAATTAAAAATGGAATTAACAGATAATGTAGCAATCTCACTTCTGGTTATTCACCCAAAATAATTGAAATCATGATCTTGAAGTGAATATGCACCCTCATATTCATTGTTGCCTTATTCGCAATCGTCGAGATTAAGAAAACAGCCTGAGTCCATCCACAGGTGAATGGATAAGGACCATGTGGGATAAATACACATGCACAATCACAGAACAAACTATTATTCAGTTTTAAAAGAAGAAAATCTTACCATTTGTGAAACATGAATGAATCTGAAAGACGTTATGCAAAGTCAAATAAACCAGACCCAGGACAAATACTACATAAATTCCTTATATAGGGTATCTGTAATAGTCAAACTCATAGAAGCAGAAAATACAATAGTAGTTGCCAAAGGCTTGAGGAGGAGCAAATGTAGAATTGCCATTCAGTAGACATTTATTAATAGTTTCAGTCATGGCACCAGCAGATGATGTAATGGTTATGTTTCTGGACTCCCACGTGGTCGACCACAGTTCGAGTCCTGGGCCTGGTGACTTGAGAGTCACTTTGGGTGCATGTTCATTCATGCCCAAAATCCTAAGAGGAGAATGGAGGAAAAGGGATTTTGGCATGGCCATCCCTCCTGGGGAGTGATTTTTTTCACTTTCTGTCTCTCTGTTTTTCTCTGTCTCTCTGGCAAGTGCACGTGCCCTATATAAAAGATCTCTCTTAAACAAAGTTTCTATTACAATAGATGAATAAGTTTGAGAGATCTACTGTATAGTGTAGTTCTATAGTTATATGTTATTGTGCATTTATGTTATTGTTCTATAATTATAATACGTTATTGTGCAATTATAATATGTTATTGTGCACTTTTTTTTGAGAGGTTTTTGCTATAGGGCATGTGCACTCACCAGAAAGACAGAGGAGAGACAGAAAGCGAGAAATCACCCCCCAGGGAGGGTGGCCATGCCACAATCTCTTCTCCTCCATTATCCTCTTGGGATCATGGGCACGCATGCACATGCGCCTGGTGTGAGTTTGAGCCATCGCGTCCGGGACTAGAACTGCAGTCGACTACGTGGGAGTCCAGCGACATGGCTATTATGTCAACTGCTGGTCCCTTATTGTGCACTTTTTGAGGATAGATCTCATATAAGTGTTTTCACCACCAAGACAAAATGCAACAAAACAAACAACAACAAAAAACAGAAGACACAAGGAAATTTTAGAAGATATTGGATGTATCTTAATATGTCCAAACTCATCAAATTGTACACACTAAATGTGTGTAATTTTTATGTATTAATTATACCTCAATGATCTGTCAAAAAACATAGAAGACAATGTTTAAGAAGTATTTTAGAAATTAGATATTAACTAGGGTTAGAATGTAGGGAGAAATATTTCATTATTTTATTCCAGACTGTTGTTTTCTGTCCTTACACTTTGCAGCAAGGTGGTTTGTTTACAACTTAATAAGATGATGGGAGATTGAAAGAAATTTCTATAAGGATCAATAATTCTCTCAATATGTCTATATTTTTTAATTTGCTATAGAGCATGTGCATTCACCAGTGAGAGACAGAGAGGGAAGGTGAGAAATCACTCTTCAGAATTATGGCCACACTGCAATCTTCTCCCCTCCATTCTCCTCTCAGGATTTTAGACACACATGCACACGCACCTAATGTGTTTTTCAAGTATCTGGATCCAGGACTCAAACCTCACAATTGGCCCTGTGAGATCCATGTGCCTGACTCTCTGTGCCACCTGCTGGCTCCTAATTGTATTTATATCTATGCAAACAGTTGATTTATCTGTTAAATAGCAGTTTGAAAAAACAGTAAATCCAACATACTTCTTTTTAAATCCTAATTTCCAGGTTTTTTTAAATAGAAGATTGTAAAACTAGTCTACTTTTGCACCTACTATTTTATATTTTGTTCTTCTTTAGCAAGGAATTGAATTTTAAGGATGGCCTCTAAACTATCTGGGATCTCTAAACTTTATTTTGTAGAAAAGGAAACCAGTAACATGTGAGTTATTTACCATCATAAAGCTAATTACATATTACATGAATTTTTATGTTATATATTAAAATACAACACAACTGAAATTTTAAAAATTGTATTACAATTATTCTGGTACAGAGTTTGAAAAACCAGTTTTCATTTAATTTAAGAATGTATTATTATTTACTTTTAATTTTAGCAAGCATTTTACATATATATTATTTTACTATAATAAATAAAAATTTGCTATGATGTAGAATCTTTGAAAGAGTTCGTAGGAAATGCATATTATGAAAAAATATGCATATATTTCAAAATCTTTTAGCACCAAAATAAACTTGTACTTTAATTCAATTTCTCTATGTTTTTTTACTTGTTCTCACATATTTTAGATATCTAGGTCAACTATATTTGCTATCTTTTCATTTCTCTTCTCAGGGGTAAAAAGAGACTTAATTTTATTGGGAAGTTTGATTTACATAACTATCTTTTTCTTTCTTTTTTTAGGTTTTTGCCATAAGGTGTGTATGCTCACTGGCAAGAGACAATAAAAGAGAAAGGGAGAAACCAGTCCCAGAAGGATGGTCATGCCACAATCCCTTGTCCATTATCCTCTCAGGATTTTGGGGCAGGCATGCACATGTGCCTGGCGTGATTTTCAAGCCATTGGGAAGAGGACTCGAACCACAATCAGCCATGTAGAAATCCAGCACCTGAACCACTACATCACCTGCTGGCCCCCATAACTATCTTTTTTAAAGGAGATGTAAAAAAGGTCTCAGAGAAATAAACAATTGACAAACATTTTAGTCTTAGATTTTTAAATTTGTGTTTTATTAAAGGGATGATGCTTCTTAGGACAAGTGTCAAAAGCACAAAGAAGTGGAGGCCATGTGGCCTAATCTTGGGGCACAGAAAGAACTATCATGCTGGAATCCATATGGCTGACCATAAGTTCAGATCCTTAGTTTTTTGTTTTTTGGGGTTTTTTTTGTTGTTGTTATTTCTTTTTTTTT